CATTACACAGTGCATTCCAATAACAAATATTCATAATTGCAGCTTTAAAATGCCAAACAACGCAGAGCAGTATCACAAATATCACTAATAAAGATTGATTTTTGTTCATTTGATTTACCCACTCGTCGTATTTCTACACATTTGGCACTTTGCGTTAATAAAAACACACATTATTCTAGATTTACACTGAATAAAAAGACCATTAAACAACCAGTCACACCAGCATTATCAAATGTTGTCCTAAATATGAATACCTTTGTGTAACAGAACGTAAAATGCAACGATATTAACAATCCAGTAACTCCTGTTTGACTTGGCGGGATTATCAGACTGTTAAAACTAGATATCAAATGTTTTCCATTCATTCAAAGACATTTTAAACATTTAGATTCTTCAAAACACAAACTCTTGGCATACTTTGAGGTCCAAACATGATTTAAAGTTGAATAAAAATAAGCTTTATAAAGTCGAAACCTTATAAAGCTACCGTACTTTGTTTTTCTTTACATTTAATAGCCGCACTTCTTTTCCCGATGAACACACCTATTCTTGTTTTCCTCCAGAGCGAGACCACGTGATTATTTTTAAATGTATTCAACATGGCCAGCGGTGGAGTGTACATTTACTCAAGTGCTGCACTTCAGTATGATTTTGAGGTACTTTACTTGAGTATTTTCATCTTCATCCCAACTATTATTTGTTAAATTTACAACATATTTTTTGGCTCCTTCCCACCTCTCACAGTGTGTCCTGTAGGTTTTAGTGCATGTAAACGGTCTGCAAAGGTGAAAATCCCTGTGTTCCCTATCGAACAAAATCCTCCATTTTACCTGTTTGTTTACTTCCGGAACAAAGTGACATCACTATGGAATACTTGCACTCCTATTGGCTCTCCAACACATTGTACGTAATAGGTTAAGGGGCGGGACATCTCTAAGCTGTTGACCAATGACAACAGAGAGTCACAGTAGAAGCACTAAATACTACTATGAGCAGAATATGGCCTCTTTAAATCTTCCCTGTAATAGTTTCTGTCTGCACTGCTGGCTGATATTAAAAGGCACTTATCAGCAGAAGAGTTTCACACCAAAACTTGATTATTTCATATTTAAAATACAGAAATTCATGAGGTCTTTTACGGTACGTCCCCACGGTTCCGTCGTGTTGAAGCTTGCCGGTGGGCGTGTCTGGTGCGCGACCAACAACCAATCACATTAATCTCCCGCCCCGGACACACAAGCACACGGTTTGATGGGCTAGTGCTTGTACTGGCATATTATTTGATTGGCTGGCGCTTCCGTCGAAGCTTCAAAAGTTGAACTTTCGAAGTGAGCAATGGAGGCAAAGCGAAACAACGGAACCACAATGCAGTTCGGCAAAGCGTGACGTCACCCCATTCAAAGTGAATGGGAAGCGTCTCCGTTGAAGCACGCGACGGAACCGTGTGGACGTGCCGTAACTGTTAAAGCTGCACAAATAAGTGGATTTATTTAATCCTCTGACGGTTTCAATCAAGTTTACTTTAAACAATCAGTATGAATGATTCTGTAGATGTAAACAAACTAAACATATCTTTATCATGCTGCATTTTTTTTACTTTTTTAAAATATTGCAGCAAACCACTTTCTTTGTCAGACATTTTTCTAGGAAATCAGAAATTCAAAATGGAATCTGAGCTTTGATGTAAAAGGACCAACAAGAATTTTCTTTTTTTCAATATATTTTGCTCTTGATTTTGGAATAAAACTATCAAAAAGCACTTTTTCTTCCAGGTAGATTTTCAGATGTGCGTTTTTAGTTTTCTTTAATAAAAAATATTTTGAAAAGAAGTGAGGCTTCACCTGAATTCGTTCACTTTGGACAGCTCAAAAAAGCCAAGTTCCCCTGTCATCAATGATAGATACACTTACAGTATTTCAAAAATACATCAGGTATGTTTTTTATATTGAATATATATTTTAAAGCTAAACTACAATAACTTGTGTCACCTTGTGAATGAGCTCCTTCAGATTTATAGCAACAAACACTTCGTCTGATTCGTCTTTTAAACTCATTTCCTGTTCAATTTCTTTTTTAAATCGCAATAAACTTTAAAAAAGCCATCAGGGAAAAATCGTACCAAATGTCCCGCACGTTTTGCATTCGATCCAAAGGTTGAATGTATTTTAAGTTTAGCCCTTTTTCTTGACACTTCTTTCAAGTTTCTACATTCAAAACGTTTTCATTATCAGTCAGAGCTTCAGCGTGTTTGCTGTGAAATGTTTTCCGGAGCTCACGGTCACTTTAAGCGAACATGCAGACGGTGAAATGTTAAATATGTTTCTACACCTTTCTACCAGTTTCACATCGCAGAGGAACGGACGCTGCTTTACTCGTTTCTTGATGTGATGTCCTGAAAAACAGAATTCAATTAGAAGTCGTTGTTATTTCCACGCGGACAGTCGACATAATTAAAGAAAATATATTTAATTTCAGACTCACCTCTGTCTTCGCCCTCCTCCACTCGCCCAGCGGACCCGATTTTGTCAAGACTGAAACAATATTTTAACACATAGTTTGTAACGTGAAAATACTCTGATACAGATACCATATTATTTAAAGGTCACCTATTATGCTTTATACACTTGTTCATGTCCTTTATACATCAACATGTGTCCGCTCTTCTACCATTAGCCAATCAGCAACCAAGGTAACCCCCCCCCCCCCCCTTATCACCTGAATCTCCTCTAGAGCACCATTGAGTTCTTTTTAACCAAATATCTCTCAGAGGGGCGTGGGGAGGGGCTCCTTATTCTCATCTAAAGCAGGGGTGTCAAACTCAAATACACAGTGGACCTAAAATGGGTGCTAGTGGAGGGCCGGACTGGTTCAATGTTTATTGCAGAACTTATTGTCCCTAAAATGAAGTCCGAGTTTGAAATATATCTCAAATAATGTATGCACTGCCATTTCCCCACATAAACACAACAGTCTGCAATGAAACGGTCGTCTCCTGTGTGCTCCACTTCCTACTTGGTGCACCGGTAATTTTCATGACCCTTTAGGGCAGGGGTGTCAAACTCAAATACACAGTGGGCCAAAATTTTAAAAACGGTACTACTCGAGGGCCGGACTGGTTAAATTTTTCTTGCAGAACTTATTGAAATTAACTTATTGCACATATTAAACCTGGAACTAGCAAAGCTTAAATGATTGTCTATAAAAACAACATGAAACATTAAATAATCAGTTCATTCATTTCTTATGGCTCTATCTGCAGCTTTTCCAGAGTCATTTCTTATGATTACATTTTCCCACAGGCCAACAACAGCTTCAACAAAACTATTTCCCTCAAAGAGAAACCAAACATGCCCTGTTGTCTCAAGAACAAAAGTGTAGAAGGAAACATCCATTAAACTCAGTGTGCTGCTCTGTGATGCTAGCTCAGATACTTGGCATCTCATCTTGGGGGCAAGGTCATCAATGTTTGGGCTCAGGCTCTGAGCTGAGGAGACCCTCAGGATGGAGTGAAGGTGTGCGTGCAATATACCGGAGGGCCACATCTAATAGTAATTAGAAATTATCCTGCGGGCCGAAATTAAATCCACCAAGGGCCTGATTTGGCCCCCGGGCCTTGAGTTTGACACATGTGACATACACGCACCGAATGAGAACATAATCAGAACTAGAGGGAAGTAAATA